CTCCGAATCATCCCGACTTGGCTGCTTCCTACCTCAACATCGGTTCGGTATATTGTAGCGTGGGCGAGTACTCAAAAGCACTTTCATCTTATGAACGATCACTTGAAATCAAGGAAATAGCTCTCCCTCCGAATCATCCCGGCTTGGTGTATTATAACATGGGCGAGTACTCGAAAGCACTTTCATATTATGAAAAAGATCTTCAGATTACCAAGAAAGCTCTCCCACCGAATCATCCCGACTTGGCTAGTTCCTACAACAACATCGGTAATGTGTATAATAACATGGGCGGGTATTCGAAAGCACTTTCATCGTATGAACGATCACTTGAAATCCGTAAAATAGCTCTCCCTCCGAATCATCCCGACTTGGCTGCTTCCTTCAACAACATCGGTTCGGTGTATTATAGTATGGGCGAATACTCAAAAGCACTTTCATCTTATGAACGATCACTTGAAATCCAGAAAATCGCTCTCCCTCCGAATCATCCCGACTTGGCTGCTTCCTACAACAACATCGGTTCCGTGTATAATAGCATGGGCGAGTACTCAAAAGCACTTTCATCGCATGAACGATCACTTGAAATCAAGAAAATAGCTCTCCCTCCGAATCATCCCAACTTGGCTTCTTCCTACAACAACATCGGTAATGTGTATAATAGCATGGGCGAGTACTCGAAAGCACTTTCACATTATGAAAAAGCTCAAGAAATCTGGAAAAAATCACTTCCTTCAAATCATCCACATATTGCCCATGTGAAAAGAAACATTGACAATGTAAAAGAGAAAATGTAATTTTTTTCTTTCGTTTTTAAATAAAAAAATAAATTGCCCTTCTTGAACCCAAGGCTCGCCAAAGCGCAGCAGCTGCAAAATATCGCGCACGCGCGACCAGAGATACCCTCCGTATTCTGCTGGGTCCTACAGTGGACAAAGCCGGCAATGGTTAGGCAAGCATTCATCGATGTACGTATGAATAGTACAACCATGATCATCATCTTCGAAAAGACGATGACGAAATGGACGCTTCTATTCATATATACATTGATGTATCCAGTGAAGGCCTACCATCTGCACGGGTCACCAACAGAACGTCGGACATCCCCGGGAAGGTCGGGTGTGGGTATTTATTCTCTTCATCCACATCCACACCCCACACCCTTAATCTGTCCGTTTGCTCGAGCCATAGTGGAGATATTTAGTCTTTTCTTGGTATCGTCACTTTTGGGCCATATACAGGGTTGCCGCAAAGTCAGTTTACAAAAATAAAAATTGAATATCTCCATTACGGCTCTAGCAAACAAGTTGATTTTTTTTATCAATAATGGAGGCATGTTCAAGCTTCATATCCATAAGGACATGCCTAGAGAGACTCTTTGTTAAGTATCACTATTGATCTCAACAAAAGAAGTTTTAGTTTTTGACAGATAGGAGAAAAAACAATATTCTTAACAACGGGTTTCTCTAGGCATGTCTTTATGGATATAAACTTGGTACATACCTCTATCACTGATAAAAAAATCAGCTCGTTTGCTCGAACCGTAATAGAGATATTCAATTTTTTTTGGGTAAATTGACTTTTGCGCCAACCTGTAAATCATTTGTATGATCATTCTTCAGGATCGTTTATAGGTCATATACATGAGACTAGAACATTAAGGCAGTAGATCCTAAAAAACTTCGGGTTTTCTTGCAGGTGACATTGAAGTTTGCGTATGTGAAAATGGTGTAAGTGTGGTTGGAGGTCTTCTCTTCACCAATACTCCACACCCGCACCCATATCCTTAAGTTCTTTTTTCTGATAAGATTGCTTGCACAAAATTAAGTTTTCTTTTCTGAATCGAATTGAACACATAGATTTATAAAGATGATAGGAGCTCCTCAACTGTCATATAGAAGAATCTGGCTGCAGTGAATAAAGCAATAAGGACCTGGGGTGTGGATGTGTGTTTTAGTGTAGTTTTTCTATTAAGCACACCAACATCCACACACTCTCCCAAACACACGTTTAGACGCATTCTCAGTGCGTTTGAAATTTATATGAGAGTTGCCTATCGGCTAGGGCTTGACTCTAGGAAACGCAAAAGCACTTAAAATGTAGATTTTCAAGCTTGTTGAATCTCATGACAATATCGGTTTTTCGAAAAAAGTTCAAGCAGTCAGTGAAAGCGTAATCAGGTAAAATAACACACTTTTGCCTGTATTTCATGTAAAATTAGAAAAACATGAATGAATTGGAAGAGCAACTAATTCGTCTAATGGATTTAAAATTGACAGACTGCCTTTCTGTAACCTTCACGTTATCACAGTTGAGAATATATAATTAGAACATCACTTCAAGTAATTCCGTAATAACATTTCAACGTATTGAAAGAAAGACAAATAGAGTTCCATAATTCTGTATGAATCACGCAATTTTATTGAGGTTAAAGAAAGAAAAGCAGTAAGAGTTATCATGAACAAAGCCGAAGTTAAAAGCTAAAACCAGTGTTAGATTCTAGTTTTTGGGTTATCAATGAATTATAATGATTACAACGAAATCATGAAAGAATCATGCATTTAATTGTTACAAAACGATGGCCTATGTTATTATTTCTAACGTTCAACAAGATAATGACGCGATAGTTTTTTGTCTTTTTCAAACAGAATGTATTTACAGCTTTTTACCAAGTCTGGTGCAGAATTGCTTTTTAAACTTTTTCAACTGTTGTCCTAATAATGTACGTTCAAATTCTGTTTTGTATAAAACAGATGGTAATATAAATAGAATATAATTGGTCATCTGAGGTAAATATGATAAAAAATACGCTGTTATTACTAAATAACGTTGCCATGGAATATCTAAAAATTCTGTACATGCTAAACTGAATGATATAATAAATTGAGGTAATGCACTTAAAATGATAAAAACTGATGGAATAAATAATTCTTTGTAGTGTTGAAGTTGTTGTTGAAACACTTTAATATAAGATTTTTGCTTATTTGTATTAGCACGTTTGCGTGCAACAACTAGAATGAGAATAAGTGCTGAAACAAAATTAATTAGACATGGTATTATATAATTGAAAATTGTTATTGCTTGGTTATAAAATGACACTTGTTTATTATATTGTGTAACACACCATGTCCCGTTTTTTGTATATTTTGGATCAGGAACAACATTGTAATAAATGAGTTCATGAGTGTGTAAACCTAATATAAACAGTATTGTGGAAATAGTTATAATTATGGCTACTTTAGGTTTTTTAATCCAGATACCACTTGGATATATGGTGACACAGACACGTTCAACTGATACAAAAGCAGTTAACCAAAAGCATAGGCGAGTAAAACATGATAAAAGAAAAGTAATAGATTTGCATAAAATCATGTTCACTGTATAATTTATTATTAAACCTTTTGTACTTAATAAAAAATGAACCATTTTTATCAATAAAAATAGAATTGATCCTTGACTTGTTATACTATTGATGAACAAATAATAGCCTACACCAACTATAAGAAGAAATCACAAAACTAATATTTGTGTTAGATAAGAACTTAAAATCAGTTAGAAT